ATGTCTCGGCATGCTAGCAAGACAAGTGTTGTCCGTCCCGGTATCAACCGTAGCAGTTGAACGAGAATTCAGTGCTGGCGGAAACATTCTAACCGACTACCGAAGTTGTCTTAACGCTGAATCTCTTGAAACACTGGTTTGCAACCAAGATTGGCTCTTGGCAAGACGTCGGGCTCAAGAGTCATCGTACCAACTCGAATCGGAGCATTACATGAATGCAACCACAGATGGAAGTCCGAGTTCTGAAGAATAAGTTATAAATTTTTTTTATGTTAATGTAAATATGTAATTAGTTTTTTTAGGTGAGCGATATATAAGCTCCTTCGAGGGTTTCTTTACGGTTTTTTACCTCGTTGCTTTTTTTGAACCGTCAGGATATTAAATGTGGTTGTTCTTCAGTTAGTGTATTACTCATTTTCAATATTTAAATAACAACTACATTTTTAGATTTTTTATTTCATTCTTTCCTTAAACAATTGCAAATTTACAATTTTATACTTTAAAATTTTAAAAAAAGCAAAAAAAATAATAATAGGGGGGGGGGGGGCCGAACCGGCAGGTCCGGGAACCGGAACCGGTACCGGCCGGCACGGTGACGGTTCCGGTTACATGGGGTGGCGGTACCGGAACCGACGGTTCCGGGACAATTCCGAACCGTACCGTGTCTACCCCTAGGTAAAACGAATAGTACCATTTTCCCGCCTAAGCTACAGTAAAAAGAGAATAGTGGGAGGCATTGATTAGAGGGAGCGTATGGGAGAAGCTAGCTTTTCTCGAGTTTTTCGCCATACTTCTTCCATTTTTCTAGATCCGTAAAAAAGAACAGCCTCTCTCTTCTCTCCACCTAAACGGCAAAGCATCTAGGGTTTCGACCATGCCTCTTCCTATGGCGGACATATAGGCTTCGAACAGAACAAGGTAGGAGACGCCGACTATCTTTTCTACCTTAGGGATTCTGGTGGCCATCAACGGAGGAGGTTTGGCCAGAAATTGCAGGCCAGGTATGTACTCAGCTTCAATTAAAAATTATGTTTGATTTTCCATCCAAAACGAACTCTAAGAGTGTTACTGAAAAATCTATTGCCTACAGTCCTTTTTTCCATCATCTTCTTTGGCTTTTACCTATTGTTCAGGTTTGAAATAGTTTTGATTTTCTTTACAAAGTTAATGCTTGCTTTCCGGCACCTCTTTTTCGAACATGAACCCCGGTGGCAGTTGACAGAGCAAGATAGCCCGGTTTCCTTCACTCCATGAGTTTCTATTCTGTCTTACTCCATGGAGTATTTTTTAGATTTGTACAGGTAATATACCAAATTGTATCACTGCATTAGCACTAACCTCCCTCTCCAATTTTTTAGAATCACTAATGTCTGATTCCAATTTGCAGAATTAGTGAATCAGGGACTGTGTTGTGTTTACGAAGTTATAAATGTTTTGGTTCTTATTTGAGCTATTTAGTGCACTTTGTGATTCTATTGTAAATGCAGGTAATAAAAGTAGGGGTGAAATGGAGAAGAAGAGTAGTAAGCCTACAAGATTTTACTCTTAATTACAAGAGGGATGTGAAAAATGAACACCTAACAAAAGAGAGAGGTTGTGTTATGATATTTCTATGATGGTCTTTGTGATTCATTGTGTGCATATGGCATTCGGTAGGCATAGCAAGTTTGGAAAAGTCACTATCTTTGCACAGGTTCATTTTATTTATTTAGTTATTAATAATAAACAAAGATTATCCTATTTTCTTTTTTCTAAGCTAAGGTCTTTTAAAATATATGTGCATCAACTCATCTTTATTAACATGGGATGACACATGTTTTCTTGACAGTGCCATTGTTTCTCTGATCTTTATAGTTGATTTGTTTAGGAACACTGATTGGACAAAGGGTTTAATCTTGCCAGACCACTGCTGCAATGGTGCCTCCCTCTTCAACCACTCATTTCAAATCATAACAAGTACCAAAGGTTTATTCTTTGATTACCTTTTTTCTTTCAAGAAACCATTTTATCGCATATCTGGAGTTTAATTTATGCCATTACACTATTAGAGGCCACCACAATTGTGGTGTGCTTTGAGGAAAAGCACCGATCACACATTATATGACTATTCTTCTTTGTTGCCTAATCAATGCAGAATTGAACCGAGTAGCAGGCTGATGTGAATAAACAATGAGTTGTCTATTCATAGTTCAAAGTTGGTAAAGACAAATGACGAATTCAAAGAAAAAATGGGAAACCCAGCTGAATCCCATAAACACATAAGTCTAGCTTTAAAAAAATAGGAATAAATACTTTCTACCTACAATTTATCTGCAATGCAACTGCATTTTGTCTTTATTTAACTACAATTTTCCTTTATTTCTTTGTTGTTGAGAGATATATTCAATAAAATCAATATTGGCAATATTATCTTTAGTTGCTAAAAGCTCATAGTCAAGCCACTAAGGTTTGGATGATTGTTAAGATATGCTCACACTAATATTTCACATGAAGCCACATGTTAATTATTAATGGACTAAATAAGTACTGCTGGGTTGGTGCGAAAACTTCCCCAGATCTCATTCTCTACACTAATGTTTTATAAAGGATTTGCAATTTTAATAAATTTATGAAGAAACTATGAGTTGTACTTTGTTTTTAAAAGTGGCAATTTATTTAGGCTCTATTTACTCTCTTTTGAAATATTTTGTCAGATTTTACATTTTCTGAACTTTTGTTGTGCACACAACCTTTCTTTAGAAAGGGCCTTGAAAGGCACATAATAAAAAAAATCATGGGTCACATAGTTTCTGATCCAATGGACAACATAAAAAAAAATATTTAGTTCTAATTCTGATGCAGGTGATTCATCAAATACCAAGCCCCTTCCAAGCATCATGGGTCTAATTCTAATATCTTTTGATCATGAGGGACACCATTACGAATTGAAGGGCCTATATAGATCACCTTTTAGTTTTTACAGCTCTTTGTTGTATTTATCCATCTTTTGACACCTCAGTTTCTAATGGATTTTAAGAAACAAATATAATGAAAGAAGAGAGTAAGTCAATGATATGAAAATTTGAGTTTTAGCCAATGCATTCAACACATTTAATGGATTCTATGATCCTTGCTATTATCAGATGTGTTGCAACACTCGCTTCAGAGATTTGTGAATCAAGAAAATTAACTTCAAGAATGTCTATTTTTCTTGAGAATTTCTAGGCAACAAGATGAAGTCAATACCATGGACAATTGCATGTTTTTAAGGCTCACATAAGTATTGAGCATCAAGCATTAGCAATAAAGCGTATATGCAGTTTGTTTTAGCTGTAATTCCTTTGAACATTTGTTTGAAATGAGCTTTTTTATTGTTACAGATTTGAGTTCACCATCAAATATTGATAAATATTTAGAAGTTCAAGGAAGAACCAAACACCAATTGAAGGTAACATATTAGTTCACCAAACTTTTATCCTAATTGCTATATAAATATGGAGTATTATTACCACAAAGATTTTTCATCTACTTTGTAAATCATACAAGCTAATACTTTATGGCAGATTTTGGTCTTTAATAGTATTGCATATGCCTTTGCCTCTGTCAAGGATACAAGTGTTGGTTAGTGTTTTTTTTTTTGTCTTTCTTTGGCCTATTATATTTCTAAGTCCAATAATAACGTACGAAAGCATGAGATGTTTGGAAATTATCACTATATAATGAAATAAAGCCATTGTGACAAAATGTTTTGGAGGGTTATTGTGAGCACTATCGAGAATGTGGAAGAGAAGGACAAGGCTTTCCAAATCTCCGAGCACACCTGTCTTGCTGAATTTTGGATTCTACTTCATTGTACAAGACTTGCACGTTAATTACATCTTATTGGTTTATAAATTGTTTTCTGTGGGGTTTGTAATTTCTATGCATTTAATACTAGATTTTTGAATTTTACTTTTTTCAAGGATGCCTTGGTAGCACCATATGATCATATCACTTTGCTCTATCATTCTTAGACTTTTTGCCCCCTCTTAATATAACTTTTTTTATTCTAAATAAGAGAAAAGTTACGTTGTTCATACAATAATAGTCGTAGACAATATAGTGTTTATTATATTATAGCAAAAAAGTAAATAAGTGACTTTCTTAATGTATTGTTTTACTCTGTATCATTTTTAGTTTGCTGCAAATCCAAGTCCCACACAACTAAAGGAAAGAGAACAATATTTAATGGTTATAACATTTAAATGACACTATAAGGTGTTTAAGAGCAAATTTGTTTGGGCTTCGTTCGAAACGGACAGTACTGACGTACTGTACAACTTTCTTTTTTCAATAGCACTTTCTTTTAAAAAATATTCTATCTAATTTCTACCTTCTCGCTTTGATTTTACATTCAAATTAAGAAAAAGTAGAAAATATATTCTTTATCTCTTTTTTTATATATGTCTATGATCCTATTCTTCAAATTTAGACGTTTTATATTTTATTCTAAATTGTGTTTGTATAAGACCAATGAGAGTAATGCATTAGGTTAAAAATATTTTTGGTCCGTATAAAATAAGCAAATTTTATTTTTAGTTTCTCTAAAATATTATTTTATGAAGTTATTCGCGTGAATGTTTACATAAATTTAGGAATAATAATGTATAGGATTAAGTTTTTTAGGAATAATTTATTTTATTTAAAGTAAAAATATCTATCTTTGGCATGATTAAAACATAAATATCCACAATGATTTTTTATATACTAAATAGTTAGCGCTTACTTAGGAGTTCACGAGTCTAACATTTTATCTTTATAATTATATTGAGGAAGTAATTAATTTGTACATGTTTGTTTTTCACAACATTTAAACATATATTATGATACAAGTGAGATTAACGACAATCTGGTAGCAAAACTCACAAATGAAGATATCATAGAAGTTGGAACCTTCCGGGTATTGGGATTCTACTCTGATATGTTGTGTACATGGTGCAAATCCACCCCTGGATGTGGACAACAGGTTTACTAACTAGGATATGGAACACTTATCCTATTGATGAAGTCTCGTTTTTTGAAAGAAGGTCAATTCATTACCCCGATACACAGTCGTACGGGTGCAATTTGGCCTTCAATAGTCTTTTGTTCCAATTCAATAAAATTGAATGCAGTTTGTGAATACAAATGAGTGCTAAACTTGGTGAAATTATTTAATATTCAAACCATTTTATCATTAATTAGATGAAATTGTATAATATTACATTAAATTGAAATGTAATTGAATGCATTTGGTTGAAGTTAGATAAAAATAAATCCAATGGGATGAAATACAATAAATACAAATTCGAATCAAGTATATCCAAGGATAAAAAGTAAATTGGAGTGATGTTTTGCTCCTATCAAAATATAATTGGGTCTAATGAGATGAAAATTAATTAAAGTTAAGTAAAAATTAGTGAAAATCATTCATTTAATTCCAGTTGGTTTAGATTGAATGCGATTGGGCAAAAATTTAGTGAAATTTTATGAAATTACATACAAATTGGTTAAAATGTGCTGAAATTGGGTGAGATTGAATGTAATTAGATAAAATTCGAGTGATATTCAATGCAATTCAGAACCCACGGTTTGCCAACCACACTACTAAGAGCTCTTGTTTGAGAGAGGTGAAAATACACAGGATGTAAGACTTCCCATTGCGCATTATGATGTAAGACTAACGTTATTTTCAAATTATTTTATACGAAAAATATCAAGAAATTAAAAAATAAAAATTGCATATTAAAAAACTACATCAAATGATCTATAAAACTAGAGGTGACAAGACCATATTGTTTTATCAAATGGGCAAAGAAAATGGGCCAACAAAGTGAAAGAAGTTTGACTTCGTGAATAGTGAAGGGGAACATAATTTTTGGATTGAGGGGTTATAAGTATATAACTAATTCAAGAGGTAAAATAGAAGTAAAAATTTAAAACCACATGGATGTAACTGTTCAACATAAATATAATATGTTTCTAGTCAGGCAGAAGCAGTTTCAAGTATAATCGGTTTCGGATCATATGATTTTGGGTCTTATCGGTTTCGGATATTATCAGTTTCAGATTTAGTCCATCGGATCTAATTGGTTTTGGATTTAAACCGAGTACGGATATATTTAGTTCTATTTCAATTCGATTCGTTTCATTTTAGTTATTTGGTTATAGATCAGGTCTTCCCCTTTTAATTCATTTCGATTTTGGTTTCGGATCACTCAGTTCGAGTTTTCGGTTCCGGTTCTGACTTTCCAGGTCTACCAATGATTGGATGCTGAAATGTAAGATGACTCAACAGCCCCAATAAACGTTTTGAAATGAAGGACTTAAATAATAAGTATAACATTGGTCTTGTGGGTTTACTTGAAATGAAGATCAGAGATAATAACTACACGCAAATAAGGAATAAGATGTTTCCTACCTTGCGGTCACATATTAACAATAATATGAATCATTTGGGGAGGATCTGGATAATATGGAATTCGGGGATTTACTAACTCAAGATGGAATTTATGTATGACCAATTTATCCACTGTAGACGCAGAAGGTATGGGGAGGATAAAAGCTTTTATAGTACCTTTATTTGTGGGCAAAGTGAGAGTCTAAATAGGAAAGCACTTTGGGAGGATTTAAGTAAATTTCAACCTATAAACCAAGCATGATGTGTTATAGGAGATTTTAATAATGTTCTCTCAACAGAAGGTCGGATAGGGGGAACCCGAGTAACATGGGAGGAAATTAAAGAGTTTAGAGAGTTCTTGGCTCTATGCGGATTAGAAGGAATACCAATTGAAGGAGGTTTTTACACATGGTCTAGTAGATAGTGTGTTGGGAAGAGGATCTTCTCCAAAAATGATAGAGTTTTGGTAATGTTGACTGGTTTCTCAAATATGGGAGCATGGCAGCGTTAAAAGAAGAGGGGTTATCACATCATACCCCTCCCCAGAGTTCAAGATCAAAAAAGGTAGTACAATTTTAGGTTCTGATATGTGGGTTCTAGATCCTAGTATATAGTTTCCCTGATTTGGTGGCTATGGTTTGAAACAAGAAACATAATGGCAGACCTATGCATATTCTGATGCAAAAGCATGAGGAAGTGAGGAACGTAAGGGCTACCATAGAGGACTTAATAAGGATAAATTCAGCAATATTCACTAGCAATACGAGGTTGTCAGAAAACAACTACAAGAGGTTCAAGGTGAGCTAAAGAAGGACATTTACAATAGTGGGCTGATGAGTAAAGGAGAGGGAGTTGATTTTGGAGCTGAATACTAAGTTGAAGGCCTGTTATATCATATGATGAAGTGCCAACAATAAGATTGTATCAATGAAGGAGATCAGAATAATGGATTCTTATTAGCTTGTAAACATCTCCTGCCCACATGGCAGAAAATAACTGCCTAAAACACCACAAAATAATTCCATGTTACCATCCTAAATATCTTGGCCAGATTCCTTTAAAAAAAATAACCACCATTCAGCTTAATAATAACCCTAACCATATGCATGCCAACCCCAACCACCTGGCCGAAATATTCAACAATAAAAAACACTCGCCATATGCACACATTTAAATCATATCTCTTATAAACACTTACACAACTTGCGTGGCAGCATTCGTATCCTTAGCTCGGTATGGTCCAGGCATAATGGAAGAAACCTAAAACAGATAATAAAAATCGAATCAATGAAATTGCTAAAGTGTGCTATGAAACCAAAATTTGTTGTAGAATGCATCTAAAAATCTTTACAGCGCTGTTCACGAGAGCTACCCCCACGGCCACAGGGTCGGCCCCACCATCCAAAATATGAAAACCTGATTCGATCCATTTCCTGAAGGTGCCCGAGTGCAGGTCTACCCCCTGCAATTAGAGGGTTTAATTTATTACTGAATAGATTTAAAATTTTTTAATTAAATTAAGTGTTAAATAAAAATAGCGCACCATGCTAATTGCCCCCTCGTATTGGAGGGGGTTTATAGATTCCCAGTCCGCTGCGCCATAGAGTATGAAAACCGCGCTCTCACCCATGAGATCGCAAAGAACCGATTGAACCCTACTTCCCTGACCTAAATTGGATTTTGCGCATAAAATGAAGAATCTTCTCATTCGATTCGCTGGAGAGGCGTCGGAACTTGTGGGCGGGCAAGATTGTGCACGGCGGCGCCGCCGGCGCTCTTCCCTCTTCTCGGATATAATCTGTCTAATCCGCGGAGGTGGATGGGGGCGCTCCATTGCCTGCCTGAGAGCGTGCTTCCTCTTTTTGTTTGCCAAATAGAAATCAACCACTTCTTGCTCGATCTTTCCCCGCCCATTGCTACTGCTACTTTCCATTGGGGAGACTCGACCGATGGTTACGGTTGGGAGGAAGGACGGGGAGACGGGAGAGAATCATTACCCCGATGCATTTAATATTTATATTCTCCCAAATTTCATTTCTTATTACTACTAATTCTTTTCGAGTATTTAATATTTATATTCTCCCAAATTTTAATATTACTACTTATTACTCCCAAATTATATTTTATTTACTCTTTTAATAACATTAAAATAAATAAATACAAGAGCCTATATCGTATCAGAATTATATTATATTTTTAATACTACATTATAAAATGATCACTTTTGAAATCAATACGGGACGGGGGAAGATGTCAGGGAGAAAAATCTGATTTTTCATAGAATTAAAAATTATTTCATTACACACATGCATGATGCAAGTTATAATACTTGATTTTCCAATGATATAAAATTTTACTATTTAAAAAAATTACATTGATTCTATATAAATCCTTTATTTATTATATAATATTTGAGACTCCTCTCCCAGAATTTCGACACGTGGCGAGTCTATTTGTCGGTTTTAACAAGTCATTCGCCACCTACTTATTATTGTAATGAGTTGGCAATTTTAATCAATATACCGAATAATGATTAAGAAGCATTTTAAATCATTTTTTCATTGATGAACACAGTGACAATATACAAAGTAATTTTAAAATAAAATTTTACTAATTAAAAATTATTTACTACGAAGTATAATAAAGAAGACTCCGATTCACAAGAATTCGACATTTGGTGTGTCTATTTGGCAAAATTGTAACATATCAGTGCCACATAATTCTTACTATAATATTTTAGACTCTCCAAGAAATTGACATGTATCATCTTACATGTTACATGGTAATTTTTAAATGACATGGCACATGCATAAATTACATGACATCCTTAGAATTCTCATTCATCATTTATAGAAATTTATTTATGATAATCTTTAAAATGTGATGAGTTTAAAAAAATATATTTTATATTTGTAAAAATACGGACTTTTTAACGTATTAAAAATTATGTAAATGAAATATATGTAATTTTTCAACAAAAAGTAAATAAATTAATCATAAAAAAGAAACAAATCATGATTAGCTCGGGTCCTTTTTCATAAAAATAAAAATCATATTAAAAGTCTATTGAGTAAAATATACTTCCTTCGTCCACAAATAAACTTCCCGTTATGCGTTACGATGATTGACTGAAATTATTTTAAAATCATTTTATATGAAAAATGGTGTGAAGTTTTAAAAAAAAATTACATATAAAAAACTATATCATAAGATCTACAAAATTAGTGGGTAACGTGACTATATTATTTTATCAAATGAGTAATGAAATTAAGCTGACCTAGTGAATAATGTTTGACCCTAAATAGTGAAAAGAATGTTTATTTGTGGATGCAGAGAGTAGCTTTTAAAAATTACTCGGGTATTAATTTATTCTTTTATATGAAAATTTATTGAGCTAAAATATACTCTGGAGTACCTTATCTTATACCACTAATTAAAGATGAGAAATTTATTAAATAAATATAGTGCATTATGGATTTATGTATATTAGATAATTTTTAATATGAAAACTTTGTGGTGTAATAATGTATTCAATAACTTTTTTATTAATTAAAATTTCCTGAATATATATAATTGGGAATATAAAGAATCTATCAAGATTAAAATATTGTTTAAGATATTATATATAAAATTCTACATTTAAAAACGGACTTCTGGCTTCTCATAAATTTATTTTTCATTTCAGTACCTACTCCCCTAAATCAAAAATCAATTTTCTTATATGCAAGTAATTTGTTGACCAATCAATTATTAATTGTATCCGGGAGTATAAACAAATACTATCTCGATCAGATTACCATTACCAAATCTGTATTAGTTTATTTTTATCGAATTTAAAATTCAGATACGCATCTTGATGGATATTAAAAATCAAAAATATATCTATATCTGTTAGATATCAGATCTATTTGTAACCATTTCCAATTTTTTAAAATAAATTAAACAATACTTTAATTTTAAATTAAATTAAAATATTATTAAATCAACTATAATTTGTTGTGAGATAATTATTTATTTATCTTTTTTATAATTTATAATATTCTACAACAATTTCATATGATTAAAAGATATAACGGCACACACACACATATATATATGTATGTATGTACGTACGTACGTATGTATGTATCTGTGTGTCTATAGCTTTGCCATGGGGGACACGTGCCCCAATCAATTTTTAAAATAAGCTATTAAAAAAGAAAATTTTAGTTTGGATCAAAGAAATGCCCCCAATCAATTACGAAGTGTGCTCCCAGTAAATTTTCCCAACCTAACTTTTTGACCCAACCCAACTTTTTGATATCTCTCAATCCGATTAAAAGTAGCCTTTAACATTACTTTTCATTTTTTCCAAACAAATTCCAACTTCCAAGTAAGATATATTTGATGAAGATGGACTATTATCTTGAAGTTTCTTCTAATATACTTACTAAGTATTTAATAATGTTAATGTATTATTAATCCCTTTGTTCCAAAAAAATTGACTTGACAAAGAGATGACCCGAGTCATCCAGATCAGAGTGCTAATAAAACTGGGTTACTTTGTAAATTATTATTTATCTAAAATATATTCTCTTTTAATGAATAAAGAGATTAAAAAACGCTTTTCCGCGTAAGCTTAAAGTAAAAACATCCATAGTTAATACAATCTTGGGTTCAAGCCCAAAAACAATGTAAATTAAGTTCGACGTTTTATTCATTATTAAATACTCCCTCCGTTCCTAAATACTCCCTCCGTCCCCCTGTATTCGTCCATATTTGACTTTTGAAACTGTTCATCTAAGCACTTTGACTTATCAAATTTTCTCAATGTGTAAGCTTAAATATAGTCATGTGTGATCTTGTTTGATTTATCTTAACATATAGATTATTAATATATAATTTTTATAATTTTTTAATATACAAATTACAAGATAAAATGGATTAAAGAAGTGCATTGGATGATGTGTAAAAATGAAAGTGGACAAATACAGAGGGACGGAGGGAGTAGATTACAATCTTTTTTTTCTCTCTCATCTCGATAACTTTTTTTTATTTACGCGATTTTATCAAGTATTTGATAAAATAAAATATTTTTGTCACATCTTATTTTGTAGAACTTTTGACGTAATTTTTTAATATGTAATTTTTATAGCTTATTAATATACCAATTTGTAAATAAAATGATTTCAAAAAGTAGGAAATTTTACTCCGTAATCCGCAATTTGTAATCAAATTGGGGACGGAGGGAGTATTAAATAAGAACTCCTTCGGCACGGCCTCCACGTCCAAGCTTTCTTCCGCAGCAGTTGTTTTTCTTGCTAGTACCTGCGTGCAGTTAAACACTACACGCTCAGCAGAAGCTGAGTGGCAAATAACTAGTACACATATATAACATGTACATATGTGACTTACTAGGTTAACAACAGATTAAAAATCATCGAGGAAATAATTTCATCTTGAATAGTTACTTGGGGACATTTAGAAAACTTTTGACTTACTAGGTTAACAACAAATTAAAGACTAAGCCGTGACTAGGCTGGAACACCGCACTAGTCAATACGTAGTTTTACTTCGGATACCTCCCCGTGACCTCGGGTCCAGTAATCAGAAGTGAACCCTAGACCCACGGGGTCATCATCGGGTTCTCGTGCACACGTTGTGGTATGATTATTTATAGGCTCATCCACATGGACATGGTCCGACATTAAAAGTGGTTTGACCCACTTAGTAAAAACGTGACAATACCTGGTCAAGGTACATCGTTAAGATAACTATGAAGTTTTTGCTTCATCCACTAACTGTTGGTTAACCTTTGTATTATCATTTAGATAAATCACTTTTTATAACTTCAAACACAATCTTTTTCAAAAATCATTTAACATTCAAAGTCCCCCTTCCATCTAAAACATCCAATTGTTATGCAAACAACAAAACTTTTTCCACCAATCATAAGTGTATAAATATACACCCATTATAATTGACCCTTTACAACACTAACTTGTTATCTTCTGTTCATAACGTCACCCATCTTATTAAATCAATTAAGTTGCATTCTCCCTAAAAATGGAAATAATAATAAAAGTAGGAAACAAGCAAATTTTAAAATGTTACACCTTTTAGTTTGGCATATACTAGTTTCATTTCCTTCGCAAAATTTCATTTTAAAGTGTCAGTTTCATTTCATTTGCACATCCAGTCCCTTTTGTCATATAAGAGTTTGATATATGTGTATATATTTATTTAAACAGTAGGTATGCTCTAGTTAATATTTTTTTAAAAAAAAAACTTCGGCCCTTCTTGTTTATAAAACCAAAATTTTATTTTTTTTCAAACTACTGCCGTATATATGTATTAATCATTATAATGGCCAACCCTTCTTTTTTTGTTTTCATTTTTTTTCTTTAACCTTAAGTTATGATAATTTTTTTTATTAAAAAGAATACTAATAATAACAACAACAACAACAATAATAATAACAATGATAATAAAGAATAAAAAGTTCATTCTTTATCCATTACCGAAAGTGTACAATTACACTTTTTCTTTTTGTTCCTTTTTTAAGCCAAGTGAAATTTATGTGCAACATGTATATTTTTCTTATTATTATGATTTTTATCTTCTCTCCTTTAATTTATTATCTAAAAGAGTAAATTCATTTTAATAAATAAATAAAAGTAAAAAGAAATGCACAAAAATATATTAACATGAAATATATATCTATAGGTTAGGGTCAACGGCACACCTTTGATATTAGTTAGACGAAATAATAGATTGATGAATGACGACGTTGCAAGATGATCGATCTCGTGACAGCGTCGATCTCCCACGTCTCTCTCCCCCTCGGCAAAGCCGCCACAAACAGTTCTTAATCACCTACTCTCTAAATCTATACATCATTTTCTTCTCTAGATGTGGTCATGAGTTTCTCTTATTGTGAGAGTCTATTTATAGTGAGGAAGGAGAATTCTAGAAAATGAAGAGAAAACATATTTACATTAATTAAATAAAATATTAAAGTATAATTAAAATAAAAAAATGACAATATTCATTACCTCCGTTATGAGGTTAATGAATCAAGTCACTAATTTAATTTTAATTAATTATTTTAGCCTATACCTTAATTCAATTGATGCCTTAATATAAATTTAGCCAAAGAATGCCATAATCACAAACAATTCAAAAAATTACTAAAAGAAATAATATTTATTAATAAGAGAGAAGTACAATTAAAAAAATTACTAAAAGAAATAATATTTTGTCTCTGATGTGATGAATACGGAGTATATTATTAGAAAAAAAGTATGATATAATAGGTAGGGTAAAAAAAATTGAGTAAAAGTGATTTTTTTAATATAGAATATAAAGTAGAAGTTTTTGGTGAAATAGAAAAAAAAATGAAAGATGGAGGGTCATATTTGAGGAGAAAATAATGAACCGTACACCTGGCCGGGCAAGACCCATTCTCGTAAATAATGAGCATTACCTCTTCTGCAGCGTATTGAACGAAGGGTAGTGATTGAGGGAAACATATATGGAAGGTCGGAATTCAAGCGGAAGACGTCAGAGCGCAGTGGGTGTGTTAATGGCTCCCTTCATTCAGATCGTATTCCTCTCGAGGTAGGAAGTCCTAAATCTAATAGGATTAGGATTGATTTGATTTGGTAATATTTATAACTGAGATTAAGATTTTCCGATGATTCCATCCATGTCAGTGCTGCGGCGCACATAAACCTCCCCCCCCAAAACATACATAGCCCGTGGGTTATTTATTGGGGGGTTGAACAGATTATCCATAAGTATCTCTCTGTATTTCTGGACTATTGAAGTTGAGTGAGCTTAATTTATAGAAGAAAATGATGGAGAGGATGAATAGTTTGGGTTGCAAGAGGAGAAGGTTGGATAATGGTGGTGTAAGAAGAATTAAGATCAACATCATGAGTCGGTGCGACAAATTCGCTCCTATGTCACGGCTGCCTCATGAAGTCCTCAGGGAAGAAGTGTTGTCAAGGCTGGCAATTAGGGATCTTTGCCGAGCCAAGTGCGTTTGTAAGCAATGGCGTAGCATCATAAGTTCCCCTGACTTCATCAAGGTGCACCGACGCCACAACCACGAGCCTTCACACGGGCTCCTCATTGCAACCACGGATTCTGTGAATGACGAGTTCATCTTCTACTACTCACCTCTGTCCGAACAACACCACCGCCACCAGCCTCGTGTTTTTGTCCCTCGGCTGAGGGTCCCCCGAAACCAGGACTACCAATGGATGACTCAAGTCGTGAATGGCCTTGTGTGTCTATACTCCGCCAATCGGTTGAGTCTTTTTAATATATGCACCCGCGAAATCCTTGACCTCCCACTACCCCCATCACCTTCCCGAGATGCACTGTGTGCTGCTGTTGTTGATACATGGTGGCCTGATACTAATGCTGTTGAGAAGGACAACAACCTTCGCATTCCTCGTGCTGGGGAGGCTACCAACTGCACTGCCACTCGCTACTATTTTGGCTTTGATACCCTGCATAAGGTGTATAAGATACTAAGTGTTAGTTATATGTGCCGTGAAGGATGTCCTGGCCCTGGTGATCTGTGCGGGTGCCAACCTTTCCTGGTGCCTCAGGTTCTCTCTCTCAGTGGCCCAGTCTCCTCCTTCAAGTGGAGAAACGAAGTACCTCATCCCAGACCATTTAATCCCCTTAGTATGCACACTATTTGTGTGAATGGACGATTGTGGTGGACTGGCAATAAAATCTCTCGCACTTGTTTTGATCTGACATCGACGCCTGAGCACTTTCGTAATATTACTGAACACCCCCCAGTCTCTGACAACTGCTGGTTCGTCACCAGCATACCCTCACAATATGGGGGATGCATTGCTCTCTCCGAAGGTTGTCTACGACAGGGGAGATCTTTGCGTCTCTTTACCCGCCCTGCAGAGCAAATATATTGTGAGTGGAGTAAATGTGATATCAATTTGCCAGTCGAATTGCTACGACGGGGGAAGTCTTCAATTGCTCTTGTTGGAAACCTTCCGGATGGGGACATTTTAATTGCCAACGACGAAGCAGATGACTCCTTTACTCCTGTCTATTCCTTCACTCCTCGAAGAAACAACAAGTTCTCAAAATCATTTAAGGTTGGGAAGTTTCCATCAGCAACTGCCTCAATGTCGCCGAGAGAACTTGCTGTTGCTGTAACCTGTGTCGAGGATAATCTCACTCCACTCTGCAATTGTTTTTGAAATTGTTCCCATCTCTATATGTTTATTATCCATGTAATCTGAATAAGTTGTTGCTGTTGTGCTCATAAATACTGGTTCCAGTTTTCAACTTCGCTGCGGTGTCATTTGCACTGTTATGAAGTATTTTATTTATTCACATTTTTCATTTGTATGGATGGGGATTGATATTTCTCCTCTAAAACTCATTTATTTTAGGACGTGGATCATAATGGAAGTAGATTTTGTTGTCATTTCTGATTTTCACCCTTCGGTAGCCTAGGTGTTCATCATGTTTATGCTAGAGCATAGGGCTTGTTTACTTTCATAATCATGTGATTTATGTGAGATGATTTCGTCAATCCTTACAAGGATAGTTGGATAGGCATTTTTGTCTGGTGGTAGGTTTTCAGCTTTTCAATGTGTGCTTTACATGCTTGGCGCTTGTTTTTTTTTAATAAATATCTTTAGCTTTCTCTATGCTACTTTTTTCCGTGCTTTGTATGTGTTTTTTGAGCTTGAGTAGGGGTAAGGAGATTCTAACTGGTTGTTTTTGTTGGTGTTGATATCGTCAAATTTTAATTTTCTTCCAAAAAGGGTCGTATGCTATGCCTTAAAAACTTTCATGTTTGAGCTTATTTTATATAGCTCGGTGCAATTGAATTGGATGCTGATGGAGTGATTCACCTAATGGAAAGGCGGCTTCTGGAAATCGGTCTATTTTGCCTATAATAAGCAAAATCAGGAAAGTCGTAAGGCTGTGAAATTCAAATCAAACCATGTCTTCAGAGAGGGCAATTCAGTGGCAGAGGTATTAAGTTCAATGTCTTACGGCTTCGTGTGAAAACAATGAAGGAAGCACGGTCAGAGGTATTAAGTTCTGGTTTTAATTTGTTTATTTACATTATGATTTACATTAAGTTCATTAATTTGATTATCCATATGCGATGCTCTGATATGAGCTATAGCATGATGTTATTACAACATATAGGATAATAACCGTGTGCATCATGAAATCCTCTTCTTTGAATTGAATATGTAATCATTAAGTGTTTGCTCCCACATTTTACTCTTCTTCTAAAAGCTTATACTATTTAAATTTATCTGGCGTAAGAAGAATATGAACTTCGAGCTGCCTTATTTAAATCACAGGCAATTTGTAGAATATAATTCAGGCAATCCGTTCACTTAGAACATCATTATCCATTCCCCCTAGTTTCTAAGATATTTTTATCACTTAGAAGCAGGTAGCTAAGATATTTGTTCCAAGTATTTGCACACACAAATACACACACATACACACAATCTGCCCATAAATTATTTTCTTGTTTGACTTTCATGAATTCTTAGAAATGAGTTTTTCTAGGACACCCAAAAAGCAAGAAGTATTTTGATGGCTATGGATTTGTCCAATGATGCTTCTTCTGTCATAGTTACACCGATAGGAACAAAACAGTACACACACACACACGTACAGCCTCCATCCGTCCCCAAATAAAAGTTACAGTTACCATTCCAGGGTTACTATAACTTTTGTTGTGTTTTTATCGAGGCTTTGATAAAATAATTGTCATGTCATTTCTCATCTTCTAGAACTTTTGACGTTTTTAAGTATGCAAGTTTTATTGTTTTTTATATATTTTTGTTCCAATTTTTTAAAGATTTGAATTAGAAACACTTCACTATACCTCGTAATTCCCTCCACAATTTGGATTTGGAAACAGAAAGAGTGCATACATACATATACACACACTATCCATATGGCTTGCACAGAGTTGATTGTTTCTCTTTTTCGTTTGGTGCATTAATGATAGGTGGAGCAGTGGAGCTACTCTCTATTCTGCCCACTCAATCAAAATAAGGGAAGATGAAGGTTATAGGTGAGTGTATAATAAATAAACCTCATGCAGAATGTTGCTGCTATATGATGAGTAATTTGTGAACGTGAGAGTGTTTGAGAATTTCTAAAAGGTGAATCCATGACAAAAGCCAATTAGTATGGCAAGTGTGTAGTTAACGACCAAGACCTTGATTCTAGATCATACTTCCCTGCTTTATTTCAATAAAGCAAGGCACTTGCATATTGTATGGCAATAGGTTTATACAAGGTGTCCGGAACAGAGAAACGCCTTTTTTTCAAAGTTTACAAAAGATTTGGGTGGTGCACGTCTCCAAGTACCCAAATCTTACAAAGGATTTGGACGTTTCAAGGAAGGAAAGCGACATTTAAGAATCCGTGCAACATGGATATCACACACTTTGTCAATGCAATCATTATATTTGTATTGGATTTACGTCATGAAAGTGATTTATTGGGTGTTTCCCTACTGCTGCAGGACCTATTATTTCTATGAGTATGGACAAGATGAAAGACACATTGCACTTGTAGCAGCCGTTAATGGCGGAAAGGTATATTGTTGACATCCCTCCTTGTCCGTGACCTTGATGTCTTTTCCCCCACCTTGGAGCTGCAGAAGGCCATGATACTTGCCTCTCTGAAGTTAGCAGTCTTAGTGACATGTCAAATTTTTGGAGGAGAGTTTGTTGATTTCTTTATTGATTAATCAAATTATTCTCAACTGCTGCTGTATCAGGCATTCATTGTCGGAGAAACAGCCCCAGAGGATAGATGGAACGATGATGGCATCAAACTTCGATCCGCTGCTGTGTCATTCACGGTTCTATGATCATATGAACGAAAGAGAGATTTTCAAAAGTGATGAGAAAAGAGATGTCTTAACAATAATGATACTGGGAGAGAATTCCCTGTTATGCATCACCTACTGAGAGACTTCAAATCATCCTTTATAAAACAAAGAGCAGAAAAATGTGCTTAACTTTTATCAAATCATCCTCATTATAGCTATCAGATTTCTTACTGCCTGCGTTCAGATTCACTCTAATTTCGCAGCTGCTTAGCATTGGTCTTAGCTGTCCATTTCAAATGATCTGACCCTCAACTATGAAGCAGCAAAAACCTACACAGCTAAAAACCCACATAGACTTGGATGAATTGCCAAGTGTTTTTCAATCAATTCTTCATGAACAGGGTAACCATAAATTTGCATGAGATGTTGATGCTACGATGGTCTGATTGTTTTTGTGATATAACTCTATTAGGTATGATGAGATTTCTTTTTTCTTGCTATTTCAGGACTTAACCTTAAATTTCCAATGATTGTGCATTACTCCATCCGTCTAAAAAAACTTCTCTTTCACTTGTCTAAAAAAACTTTTCACTTTGGCCTATTTAGACAAAAATACTTTTGTTTTTAAAAATCTAATCTAAAAGTTAACCCAACTTCTTTCTAGTTTCTACGCCCTCCCCATTATTATGACATTTTCCAAATCCTATTATTTCATTTTTTTTGAATACTAATAATTCTATTACAATGTAGTATCTGTTCATACATTTTCAACCTATTGAAACTCATAGAGTTATTGCCTGCGCAAGGAATCAAACATGTGACTTCTCATCTCGGAGAGTCATAGCAGTAATTAAATTTGAATAATCAATATAGAGAAGAGATGGTATTTTTATTAAAATATATCATCCTTATAAAAGATCAAAACTTTAGAAACTTACATTACATGTAGCAATAAAAATGTATTTTAAAAGTAGAATTAGATTGACATTGTCAATGTATTTTAAAGATAATTTTTCCAACGTCTAATAATTAAGGATTACTTTCTCAGTTTTCTATTTAACTTGATAATAATAATACTAACGTGATTAATTTAAATATGGGAACAATTAAAAAGGAAAGTTAAACAATTTTAATAATGGCAAAAAACGTTAATGGCAAAAAAATACCATTTGTGAAATTGGGAATTACCATAACTGCAATTTGTTAATGCCGTGTGATTTACCGTGTACTAACATTAATGGCAAAAAAATACCATTTGGGATGGCAAACGTGATTAAAAAGAAATAATATAATAATAATATAATAATAATACTAACGTGATTAATTTAAATTGGGAATAATCAAAAAGGAAAGTTAAACAATTTTAATAATGGCAAAAAACGTCAATGGCAAAAAATACCATTTGTGAAATTGGGAATTACCATAATTGCAATTTGTTAATACCGTGTGATTTACCGTGTATTACAATTAATGGCAAAAATATCACACGGTCTAATCTAAAAAATTACACCGTTTAAGAAATAATTATGGTAAGAATAATTATTTTACTCTTACCAAATTTCGTACAATAACATATACTATAAATACTACACTTACCATTAATAAATCAATCTTTTTTTAAGCAGTTTATACAAATGACAATTGTATTTAATTATATTTAGGAAACGTTATTAAATAATAAACAATACTACATAAATGGTAAAAGCCATAAACACATGTTTTTACTTTAGAGCAATAATATGAAATAATATCTAATAAATTGTTAAATTTAAAAATGGTAATATATACATGTATTTTGAACGGTAAAGTTAATATAAACATGTGTTTTGGTAATAAAGTATTTACGCACGCCATGTTAATAAAAAAATAAGTTTGTAAATAAAAAAGGTAATGAAAAATATAATTACCATAATAAAGAAAGGCTAATAAAATAGATATATTATTATGTTATTATGTTCAAAATCTTTACCTTTAATATTTTTTTATTAGCAATTTAATACATGTTTTTAGTAACATAATAACATAATAATATATCTATTTTATTAGCCTTTCTTTATTATGGTAATTAGATTTTTCATTAACTTTTTTATATACAAACTTATTTTTTTATTAACATGGCGTGTGTAATATTATGGTAATAGATATAAAAAAATAAGTTTGTACATAATAAATATTATTATGTTATTATGTTACTAAAAAAGTATTAAACTGCCATTTATTATAATAAAAAATAGTTAAATACGTATAGAGTAATGTACATATTTAACACGTATACAAAAATGCTAATAAAAAAATACTAAAGGTAAAGATTTTGAACATTAATGGAACGAAATAAATTATTATGTTATTATGTTAATAAAAACATGAATGTTGAAATTGTAATAAAGAATAGGAAAATACGCTTAGAGTAATGTACATATTTAACACGTATACAAAAATGGTAATAACAAAATATCAAAGGTTAAGATTTTTAACATTAATGCGACGAAATAAATTAGAGTAAAAGTATCTGCTCGAAAAAGTAAGTGTTCATAAAAAGAAAATAAATACAAACGTACACAATGACGATAGTAACCCGGTTGGCTGATCACTCAATACAAGGAAAAATATTATCAGGAAGCCACATGATTGAAGAAGTCGTTATTCCAAGACTATCATTAACACCGTCCGATACAAGAATTCTTTTCAAGTTTCAAAGAAAATTTTTTGTGGTTACTTCGTACGCAATGATGATTAACAAAAGCCAGGGACAATCTCTGAAACATGTTGGACTATAGTTACGGAAACCTGTGTTTAGTCATGGCAGCTCTATATATGTTGCAGTTTCAAGAGTAACTAATCGTAGTGGGTTGTAGATTCTTATATGCAATGAAGACAATATTCTCACAAATTTACAAATAATGTAGTCTATAAAGAAGTCTTTCGAAATTTGTATAAAGGTTTTTTTGTACCTTAAAATAATATAATCTCTATATTCTATTGCATCTATTTTTTATTATTGAAAAATGAACTAAATTTAATTACATAAAAATGACCCGTGTAGCGCACATGTGTGATACTAGTTTGCATAACGTATAATGGATGCGTGGAGAAGAGGTTGAATTTTATTACCCATAAAAAGTTGATTAGTTAAGACACTTTTTAAGACTAAATATTGCGTTTTAGGTTTCGTTCTGTTCAACTTATTTTTTCTGATCTGATCTGATTTTTTGTAGTTCTAATCTGATTTGATTGGATCTAATCTAATCTGATTGATTGGATCTGTTATGATCTGATGTGATCTGATTAAATTTGATTTGATTTAAAATTCAAATCAATAATTTGATTTGACTTTATAATAACTAATAACGTTTGAGAATTGTAATGATAATTCTTATTATAATATAATCAATATTTTTTTGTTTTATGATTATTTTTTAATTAAATAAAACTAGTTAATTCATATATTAGAATAATCATTCATATTTAAAACTAATAATATTTTTTATTTTATGAAATGTTTTTTGTGAAATTAGAATATTAATTTAATATTTTAATAATTACTTCATATTTACATTAGAATAAATATTTAATTTATATATACATTAAAAAGTAATTAAATTTGAATAATCAATATATAGGAGAGATAGTATTTTTATTAAAATATATCTTCCTTATAAAAGATCAAAACTTTAGAAACTCACATTACATGTAGCAATAAAAATGTATTTTAAAAGTAGAATTAGATTGACATTGTCAATGTATTTTAAAGATAATTTTTCCAACGTCTAATATTTAAGGATTACTTTCTCAGTTTTCTATTTAACTTGTTTCAAACTTTATTCTTTTTCGTTTTTAATAATAATAATAATAATAATAATAATAATAATAATAATAATAATAATAATAATAATAATAATACTAATAATAATTCTTGATGGGATCTGATTTGATATGGTCTGATCTGATTTGATTGGATCTGATCTGATTCAATCTGATCTGATTTTAATAAGAATAAGAAAAAATAAGAAAAAAATAAGTTAAACGGAGCGGGCCCTAGTACTTTCTATGTCTTAATTTTTTTTCAAACTCTTAAAACTATCTTTTCACTTCCAAAGAAGGGTGTGTAATGACTTTTATATCTTTACCACATTTGAAGGGTGTTTGTGAATGTGGTGAGTCTTAAAAAAGCAGTTGTGCTGAACCAGAAGTAAAAGATAGTTATTTCAGAGGGTGTTTGGCACTGCACTTCTTTTAAGAATTTAGTTTCTGCTTTGAGTGAAAGTGGTTTTACTCTATTTGGAGGATGTTTGGGATTGCATTTGAAAATCACTTATAGCTTCTACTTTACTAAAACATAATTTTAATTGTTTGCTTATCTGGTTTAGCTTATAAATTATGGCTTTAGAAGTTAAAATTAAGGTCTAAAAGTGCTTTCTAGCAAAGCTAAAAATACATGCTTTCTGCTTCTAAATTATGACTTCTACTTTTACATAACTTACCACACTCCCAAACACCTTCTTGATATGTGAGTTTCTGCTTTTCTCCATCACTATTTTGTACATAAAACATCGTTCCGGAAAAGTAGTTATGAGATACTTTTGCTTTCAGCTTATGTGGAAATCACTTTATGGACAAGTAAATTACTTCCAAACACTCTCTCAAACTTTTTTGTAAAGCACTTCTAGAGCACATTTTACAATTTTAAAGTCAGATTGAAATACAATTAAAACTAGTATTTTGACCCATGCCACGCACGGGACTGAACACATTTTTTGTCGATTCTAAAAAAATTTTTAATGCAATATTTTTCTGGAATAAAGAAAATATACTTCTCGCATGATTTTTAATACCATAGAAAAAAACCGAATTGGAATAAATAATATTTGAGGAATTGAATGTATACATAATAAAAAAATTTAATACCAAATTTTCTGGAAGACTTTAGGGTATACAACATTTTTAGTATGGTTGTAAGTGTTTTTTCATTGTCATCTAAGACCAATATTTTTAATCATGTCTTTGTCTTCACTCACGAAACACCAACATAAAGCTGACCATGAGTGAACACCGACTTGGTTAAAAATAGTCCAACAAATGAAAGTAATTGACCTTGACTTTTATTGATAGTCATAGCAAAATATAAGGCTATTGGAAATTGTCTGCTTTGGAATTTCAGGGGTAGTCCTGCAATGGTACCAAAT